ATTAGTTGTATATGTCATTTATTTTTTAATGAAAGAGAAAGAAGGCAAACTTGAGCACACTACAAAATTACACTACAAAATCTAGTGTGATTTTTAGCACACTAAAAATCATGTTTTTAAAGTGGTGAAGTATCTAGCCCTTTAATATATGGTCGGGCAATCTAACTTAGGATGGTTACAACACTATATATTTTGCAGGCTGAGATTCTGAATATCTGACACTGTATAATGTACCTTGGTTTCTGTGCTGCAAGGACACTAAAGTATTATTATAGGTAACTACCCATATCACTCTCCTCATTCTCAAACTATGATGGCAGATTAAGTATGTGAGAGAAAACACCTCTAAGTACTCATACATTCCAAAGAGCCTCATGGATGGTAGGTGAGTTGTAAATAAACCAACATCGGATTTAGACATATGGCTATCGCTTACTATTTCCTACAGATGAACGACGTCTTAGGTCCTATATAGAATATATCATAGGGCCAGTCCTGTAAACATTTCTATACCAACAAAGTACATCTCCATGTATGTCATTCACTCATTCTACATTTATTGAGCCAGCCCTACTACATGTCAGGCCTTGTGCCTGTTCTCAAGAAGCTCATAGTAATTAGGAAAATAGACAAAACTACAATTACCATTCTATGTGATAAGTGCTAGAAAGAGATAAGGTGGTATGGGAGTACAGTTAGGGGCACCTAGCCCATACCAGGGTGGGATAGGGCTGGGTGGCAAGCAACAAGGAATGGGTGACAATGGAATTGATGCCTGGGCTGAATAATGAAGGATAAGCAGGAATTATCTGGGTAAGGAAGAGGTAAAGGGTCAGGATGTAACAAGAAAAAGGAGCAGCACATACTAAGACAGGATGTGCAACAGAGTGTGGCAAGCCTGGTTGACTGTCAAGTTTATCGATTCCATTTAGTTGTTATTGACATATGTGTATTTGTATGCCTCACTATGTTTGAGTCTTTGTGGTAGAGATTGTGTGTAATGGCTTCTATGTCCCTATGTCCAGCAGTAGGCACATACACGGTCACAACAAACGTTTGATGAATGAATGGGATTCATTCATTACATGACATGAACAACATGGTATAAGGAAGAGTAGTTAGGAGTCCATTAATGAGGAAGGTCATATTTAGTAGCAGTGAATATGAGATGAGATAGATTTAAGAATTATTTGGGAATTAAAATGGATAGGACTTGATATATTGGAGATGTGGTATAAATGAGTAGAAAGTGACTTTCTAGGTTTCTGTTTGGATTACAGATGGATGATGTTATTAATAATAAAGCTAATATTCGTTAGGGACTTTGTGTCATGCAGTACCGTGTTTTACATTAAATCATTTAATAATGACTCAATGACTCGGGGAGGTAAATACTCTTACCGTCCCATTTACTAATGAGAAAATTGGTTCTACCACAGATCAGCTTGCCCAAGGTCACACAGCTGATGGGTGGCAAATTCAAGCCCAGGAATTCTGATTCCTATAGCCATACACATAACCTACTACTCTTCTTCACTGCCTCGAATAGATGTGCTCAATATATAGAATGATGATCCTACTCCACATGTGTATTACATAAATTGCACGTATCCCTTTTAGTAAACACAGACACGTTAAGGTGATTGCCTCTTTTGATCAGATTTTGCAGGCTTGGCTCTGCACTTTCACTTTTCCTACCTGGAGTACCTAAAGTGGTGTGGAAGTTTGATAGAGTTGACACAAAAGATGAGAGAAGGCAGGTACAGAAACGACATTCTCGAATCCTCTAGCAGCTGTTGGAATGACGGGATCTGGGTTCTATCGGACTTCCCCTCCTCC